ATTGAGAAAAATAATTTTTATATTATGGATAATAGAAATTCTATCCATTTTTATCCTACCTCCCAACGGGATAATTTTATCCGAGCTATATCCTTTCTATATCTGACTTTATCTTGTCTTGTGCGGGTACCAAACACAAGATATGATAAATTTTATCATATCCTAAATTTTATCTTGACTACGAAACATAGCTTGGCATAAAATACGTCAAGAAGAAAGCCCATCATAGATTCCCATTTTTTAAACTCAATGGCGAAAGTTGATTTGATACATAGGTCATGTGGACGATGTGATGGGTCAATTACCCAACATGAACCATATAATTGACAAGGGCTTGGCTTTATGAGGCAAGTTTCATAATTTGTCATTTTACAAATTCGAGAACATTATCGTTCTAACTTTATAGGTGTTGAAGCAAACGCGGAAAAGCAAACACAGAACACGAGGATTTACGTGGTTCGATCACAACGTGATCTACGTCCACGGGCGAGGCAAGACAAGATTCCACTATAATCAAAGAGAGTACAGTTTTCAGAAGTCGAAACAACGACAAAAGCTCACGGCTTACAAAACTCTCTGAAAATAAAATTCTCTCTCACTACTTCAATGAGAAAACCTAGCCGCAATATAAATAGTGCTCCCGAAATTTTTCCTCGGGGGCGTAGCCCCCGAACCCCCCAAGACATTGGTTCGCTTGCTCCAACTCGGGCGGACCACCATAGAGATTTATTCACTTGCTACGAGTTGAGCCTATCGGCCCAACTCTCCGCGTCGCGAACTAAATCTCAATTTTCGAGTCGCACAAAAATATGTCGGGTCGGGTGTTGAACCGGACCGAGAACATAAAATTCAAGACATATTTAACAATAGGGAAAATGACATAAGTGGTCCCTGAACTTTGGTCCAATTTACATTGTGGTCCTTGAAATTTAAATTTCTCTAATATGGTTTTCGAACTTTATCCCGATGTGCAAATGTGATCTCCGAACTTTTGGTACATGTTCAATTTAGTCCGTAAACTATATGAAAATATTCAATATTGTCCTTCGAGTAATTCAAGTTTATGAACAATATTGAACAAATTCATAAAGTGTAGGGACTAAATTGAATATGTATCAAAAGTCCAAGGACCACATTGAACAAATTAAAAGTTTAGGGACCACATTGCACATTGGGTTAAAGTTCAAGGACCACATTAAATAAATTGAAAGTTCATGAACTACGTTGCTCATCAGGCCAAAGTTCATTGATCATTTATGTTAATTTTCCTATTTTATATTTTGGGAAAAGGACACCAAAAACCTAAAATTATGCAGATTAGGACACATTTACCCTAAATTTTTTTCTGTGACACCAAAAATCTCAAACTTTTACCTATATGACACAATTACCCTCCGTCAAAGTTCTGACAATGAGAACCATTAAAAATCTACTCACATGGATGCTAGAAAGCAAATAGTATTGACATGACATTCACGTGACCTAAATGAAATAAAAATAATATTTTTTTGACTGACAAATTATCTAACGGAATCTTGACGGAGGATAAATGTGTCAAATTGATACAAGTTTGGGATTTTTTATGTCACAAGAAAAATTTTAGGATAAATGCGTCACAGTGGGTATAGTTTGGGGGTTTTTTGTGACTTTTTTCCTTATATTCATGTTGTCTATTCAATATACACCAGATACTCAATCAATTGTATGTAAATCCCAACATACCGCCCATTACATAATTCAAACCGGGAGATAGTGATTAGTGACATACAACTTTCAACTTTGATAAATATATTTTTCGGTTCAGGTCGGAAAGGACAAGCCATTTAGATATCATGACCAATCATTGTCATATTGTCACTCATGATTTAAGTGTTTCCAAAGACAACAGGCCTCATTCTTAGACTTTCTGAGAGCCTCCAGATACGAGTTGGTTTATATGCTGTCATATGAGAGAGAAATTACGAATTCGATGCCGCTTCTTAGATCCGCTAGTCGCGAACGATACTAAGTTAGGATCTTCTTTGCGGTATCGAAATCCCAACGTTTTATGGTAAATGTGCGACCTTCGAGAGGGAGAGCAGACAATTTAAATATTACATGTTTGTTGAGCATATTGTAAGCTTATCTAGTTTAAATTAGGGTATTTTCTAGTCAAATTTCGAGTTTCTCACCATCTAATTTCTTAAACTTTCTAGTTATCCTATGTCGTCTATCAATGCAAAGCTTGTTATTTTTCTCGTGTATACTTGAAGTCCAGCCAATTGGTCTCAATCTGTTTGCCCTTGCAAAGCATGACATCAGTAGTGAAAAAAAAAAAACTGTCCATCTATGAATCCAAAAATGAGCAAGGGAAAAGGTAAAAATCATCAAAAATTTCAAATTATGCCAACTGAGACACATTTACTATCATCTTTTTTTTAACACCAAAAATCTCAAACTTGTGCCTATATGGACACTGGAAAATAAATAACGTTGACATGGTGCCCACGTTATTTGAGTAAAATAAAAAAACGACATTATTTTGGTTGAAAAATTATCCTACAGAATCTTCACGAAGGGTAAATATGTCACGTAGGTATAAATTTGGAGTTTTTTATGTCACAAGAAAAAGTTTAGGGTAATAGTTTGGGATTTTTATGTTATGAAAAAAGTTCAGGTACGGACTTAGATATGTGTAGTCGATAATCTTTTCAAATATCTTGGATGATTATCACGTGTTAGCAAGTACAACTGATCAAAATAAGATTATTTGGTAGCCTAATGGTATGAATTAGTATTCACAAATGTGAGACTACGAATTCGAACTTGTTCATTAGATTCACGAGTCGCGAATGGTACCGAGTCACGATCTCCTTTGCAGTATCAAAATTCGAACATTTGATAGCAAGTGGAGCCTTCAAGAGGGAGAGCAGACGATGCAAAATATTATATGGTTGTTGAACATACTGTGAACTTATGTATTCTATATTACTGCATTTTCAGGTCACTTTCGAGTTTCTCACTATCTAATTTCGCAAACGTGTCTAATTCTCCTATGGTCGTCCATTAATTCAAAGATTGTTATTTTTCTCGTATGTACATGAAGTCCAGCCAATTGGTCTTGGTATGGGTGACATCATTGTGCCCTCGCACAGCATGACATCGTTGTTTTAAACGTCATTCCTATGGAAAAACACTGCCGATGCGATAGATTTCGATCAAAGTTTTTTGGGAAAATGACACAAACAGTCTCTGAACTTTTGTCCAATGTATAATTTGGTCTTTGAACTTTTGATTTGTTCAATGTAGTTCCTGAACTTTAGCCTAATGTTCAATATGGTCCTTGAACTTGTAATTTATTCAATGTGGTTCTTGAATATTTGGTATTTGTTTAATTTAGTCCCTGAACTATATAAAACTGTTCAATGTAGTCCATTAACTTGAATTAATGGAAGGACTACATTGAATATTTTCATATAGTCCAAGGACTAAATTGAACATGTACCAAAAGTTCTGGGACTGCATTGAATAAATTAAAAGTTCAGGAACTATATTAAACAATTGGCTACAGTTCGGGGATTACACTGAATTCAATGACCAAATTGCATGTTAAATTAAAATTTATAGATTATTTGTGTCATTATCCCATGTTTTTTAAAATACGTTGGTAAACATGTGATAATTGTCTAGTTGCTGATTGTGATAAGAAGACTGACATGCTATCATCTCTTTTCACGAGGTCGAGTGTGCTACGGGGCACATTCTTCGCGCTCCAAATTTCAACTAGTGGAATTTGATCTTTTGAAATAGGGTTCCGACCATGGAGATAAAACTTATGGAGGAAAAGAAATCTCTACCCATGGACATGTTAATTTATCAAATGATTTATCATCTTTTGAGATAATTTTAATTAGCTTTCGCCCACATACTAGTAAGGCTACAGCCAGACTGCCTCTTCGGGACTTAACTCCGGGCACTACCTTAGGACGACTTAACAAGACCAACAAAGTAGAATAATCGAGATAATTTGTGAAATCACGTATCACTATCTCGTCCCCCTTGGAAAATACATAGCCAAATATATATATATATATATATATATATATATATATATATATCCCTAATTTGAGGATGATAACTATTCACTCGCTCACATCAATGATATACGAGACTTCTATAAATCTTGTTTTACGCCGGCGATGTGTACTTATTATTCTTGTTCGTCCAGTTTCTTGACGAAATCAACATTCATATTTTCTCTCAAGATAAAAATTAAAATGAAGCAATTCATTGTTCAGATCATGTTTAAGGGATCCCAAATTTTAATTCATCTTGGGTTGACGTAGAGGTCTTTCTGATCTCAATTTCTCAAACGTTGCCCTATTCACGGATGCGAATATAAATTTATTTCGCGACCCCTTGATGAAAAGAAAAAGGAACGATTCAACGTAATTGGATGGAAAATTTGGGTTGACAATGAAAGTCATGTTGATCCTCAAGTCTTTCTATGTACTTGGAGTTTCTGAACTCCCCGTCCTCGATCGATTCCTCAATCTGTTCCTATGTTAATTCCTAAATGCAGGATGTCAGCCATCTGTTGGATCATGTGAGTTTAGGGTGGAGAGACATTGCCTTTAATCAGGTATTTGCTAAACTCGGTACATTTCATCCAAGCGGAGAAGCTGGAACGGATTTGGCTTGGCTGTGGGTGACTTTCAGGAAAATTACAGTCGGGATCTCCATGCATGAGATGTTTGACCTAATTTTATTTTACTGATGATGGTCGGAATTTGTCGACATGGAGAGCCTAGGTTTGGCCCATCGATATATGTTATGATATCAAGTTACGGGATGAACGGGAGATAGTGCAAAACTCCGTGAAACAACTATCAAATATTTTAAAAGGTTAAACTATTAGATGGAAGAGTAATTTGAGACTTACACATTTTTACAAATAGAAGAAGGAAATGGAATGCATAGAAATTAATCATACGACATGGAAATAACATGAAAAGCTCTCGTTGCAATCACAATCTTAAAATCTTTTATTCATAATACGCGGTGTCCGCGTGCAGAGTACATCAAGTTCTGCGCAGTGCACGTACAGCCCTGTTACAGGCTCCAACCACACATAATCAAAAGCAACATCAAGCCAACAAGGAAAGAAATAAGGTGAAAACGTGACCGAGCTAAACAGTCCGTGTTTATTCTGGAGCGCCAACAGAAGGTGTTGGGCTCGATGCCTCATTGGCTAGTCAATGCGCACCATGGCAGCACTCGAAGGTGACGGCGGTCTTCATGAGCCGAGAGCACACGGTGCACTTGATGCACTCCGGTATGTTGCCAACCATGTTGGGGATATAGAAATGGTGGCAGCGCGACTTCACAATGACCTGCTTGTAGTGCTCTTGGAAGACGGCCTCAAAAGCCTGTTTCTGAGTCACCCTCTTGATCCACGTCTGGTGCTGTGACAGCACCATTGCGAAATCTGTGAGACGAGCGTTGACGACCACGCTCGACCCTCTCGCGACGATGGCGAACCCGCCTTGCTTCTTGTAGCTGGTGTAGAGCTGGAGCAGCTCCTGCGTCTGGGAATCATAGATGTCCGAAGTCACCTGCATCTTTGAGGAAATGCAATTCTCGAGGCGGGTCAGGAATTGCTCTCTCTTCGTGCTGATTCTGATGGCTATGTGGGAGACTGAATAGTTGATCTTCTCCAGGTATTCTTCAATCTCATGGACAGTCTTGGCGTCTTCAGCTGAGTCGTACAAGAATAGGAGGTCCTTCCTTTCAAACTGGCCGACAATCAAACCAGAGGACATGTCAAAAGAACATGAATAAAAATACTTTTAAGTTAGGAAACTTTTAATCTATCTTGCGAATGATTATTGTGCGAATTCAGTACATGTGACGTTAGATGTGTCTAAATTTTTAGATGGAGTGAATTTCACGTGAACTGTAACAGTAGAAGCTCATCCTACTTGCTTTTGTACATAATATGCAAGTTTGTGCTTGGCCGAGCATGTTAAAAAGACTAAAACATCAAATAATCTTTTCAGACGAAATTATAATTGAGGCCGTGTCGGCCTTTGATTGTTCAGTTGTGTTTTGGATATAACCTAAATATAAATCCAACTAAAAATAGATGTGAGTGATATGTCCAGATTTGTAATGCACCAATCAGAAGCCTAGTAGGAGAAAGGTTCTTCTAATTGGAAATGGACGATGAAAATATTGCCCCGATAACTGAATTCCATACTGCAGTTGTTACTTACGCATTGTTCAATAAAAGGGTAGATTGTCTCGTTCACTACGAGCTCGAACCAGTTGATCCCTTGCGTGTTCCAGAGCTCGCAGCCCTTCGACTCTGTGAACGGGAAGGCTTTCCATCCCCAAAGGTGTATTGTCGTCATCGCATCCATGTTCACCACCTTCCCCTGTTGGTTCAGCACGACAACCTTCGTCTGCTGCCTAAATTGCCACTTCTTCTGGATGAACTTTGCTGCCGTCTTGCTGACCATGGAGGTGCATGTGTACCACTCCATCCGAGATCTCATGTCCAGGAACTGCTTCTGCTTCGCCTCATTATGTGCCTCCACGATAGGAACCCACATAATTTCGTAATTATTGCTTTTGAAGTTGTTCGCATGGTAGATGCCGGTAAGGGTGGCTAGATCGTCGTTCAACAAGTTCAAGTCTGAAATAAGCAGCATCACGCTCTTGTTCTTCAATTCCTCCACCTTTACCTATAACATCTAGTGATCAAACCACGCTGCTGTTTTTGCATGTTTTATGCCAACAAACGAACTATCTAAGAATTCAAATGTAGTTAATTGCTTGCAAGTTGATATGCAATCCCTTCTCGTGACATTGATATACAATAATAACTGGTAATCAAAGTCCGTGAAGATTATTGTACTGAGAAGCTAACCGTTGTCCTCTCGGAACATTGATAAACTGTCAATGAATCGTTCTTGGTGCAAAACAGTGCGGCCATAAGCTCCACAATATCAGTACAAGAATTGGAAACTTCCTCAACTTTCTCATATAAATGTTCCTCCTCTGCATAATGTGAATCACTTTAATTTAGGTACTTTTGTTCCAGATATGGATGTGACAAAAATTATCTGTGTGTATACAAAAAGGAATCTGGAGGAGAGGCATGAACGCTTCATTCCATCTATGAGTGAACAATATTTTGTTTGAAAACAGCAATGATCTCACCCTTTTGCTCAAAATCTTGCACTTGTTTCTTGAAGGATTCAGATATTTTCTTGACCTGCTCCAATAAGGCCGACAGATGTTGCTCTAGGAACCTGTAGTCATCAAAAAACCGGTTGAGCATTGATGTGAAACAGTTTGCAAAAGAGAGAGCGAGCGAGCTTGGAATTAATTCCAAGTCTGTTAATAAAGGTAGTTGAAAGCAACGGTAAGGTATAACATACTCATTGCTCTCGCTAATCATGCTCCTGAACAGAACTGAGCAGCCAAGTACACTGACTATGATGTAATAAAAATTGGCTGATATATCAATCGATACCGACATTTCTCCAGAGTCTTTAGAGTAGCTCATAAACTCAACAACACAGTTGATGAAATTCAAAATCTCCTCGATCAGATTAACAAAAACCTTGATCCGACGTGTGATGGAGGACGTGCCAGTTTGTAAGCCTCTCAACCTGGCCATTTCGCATAAAAGGATGTCTGATGCTTGAATTTGAGCGTGACGCCAGTTCTCGACATAGAATATGGATAAAGCTAATAATGTCAGCACAGCCTTGGCATCCCATGAAAAGGATGACAACTCATCCAAAAGCGATTTCATCGTTTGCTCCACATCGTTGGTTTGCAGGGCCCTAATCTGTCGTGGCGCACATAGTTTTTGACATTAAATGTGGGAAGTAACAAGATCGAGAAGAATACCACAGAAAAGGACGCTAAGAATTTAATAAACCCACTGTTTGCTTCTTTTTTCTTGATAGAATGAGCAATTTTAGCGGCATAGAAATGTGCTTTTACTTTAATATAAGTTGTCATCTAAAATTGATCTCTAAGTAATTTTAAAACAATCTAAAATGGTCTGGAGCTTAGAAATGTGCTTTTACTTTAGTATAAGTTGTAATCCAAAATTAATTTCTAAGTAATTTTATAACAATCTAAAAAAGTCTGGAGCTCTCGGATTTGTATATTTCCACTTTCGACAGAGGAATGTCTTTGCTTATATGAGATTACCTTATCATACAGTTTGTTAATGATAGATGACAAAGCAACAGGAATTGTCAAGCTTATGCTCTGGCCTCGGTTACCCTGGAAAAACGAATTCACTTGTAAGTCCCAACCGTGGAATATTATGAACATAAGAGCATGTAAACATTGTGTATCTTTATAAACTTTGGCTGGACAAGAGTAAAATATGAAATTAATTTGAGGAGGAAAGGCATTTTGCCACGAAAAACTATTGCGCATTAAGATCCAGCCAACTAACCATGTAAACAAGTATATGGAAAAGAGACTATAGCATGAAGTTGAACTTGCTTGTCCACTACTTTACCTTTGCCCGAGTGTTGTCAGCAACATCATTGGCAAAGTCCATAGCTTGATTGACGATTTGCTCGACGAGGCTCAGGTAATACTTGACATTAACTTGTTCTGTGGTAGAGCTTGGCTGGATGGTGACGATCTTCATGAAGTCGTTGTTGCTGGTTTTGAGGAGGTCAAGCAATCCGGTCATGAAGCCATTGTTTCCTGCCACCTCGGTCACGGGGTCACTGTTTCCGGCCATGGCCTTCATTCTGTCCACCCCGTTCGTGAGGCTAATTTTTTCAGTCAGCTTGGTCGTGAGGCTAATGTTTTCGATCAACTCGGTCACGGAGTCATTGTTTCCGGCCATTTTCGGACGCAGGGAAAGGGAAAAAGGAACGAGTGAAGCAGAGAAAGTTTAAGGGTTTCAATGGAGGGAGTGAAGTGAAGGAGGAAGGCTTGTGTGGAGCAAACTGGAGGTCCCTTGTGACCTATTTATAACAATCCGAGGCCACAACACGACAACTTAGGAGCTGGCAAGAACGATTAATTAACGAGTCGTATCGGAGAGATATATATTCTGCCAGCGAAGAGACATGTGCACAACATTTTAAGGACGTTTAATTAACATTGTAACTGAGGGAGTGCGTTACTAGTCAGAAAAACCCAAAGTGGGTGGAGAGTGCTATATAAACATATGGTGAGATCTGGTGTAATAGTGAATTAAGGAATTTTACGTATCAGATACTTAGCGTGGCAATAATACATTAAGAAGCAAGGCCAGCATATCCGGGAGTTTTTGAAGCTCATTCGCAAAAGTTGATTTGGGATGGCAGGTCACGGGGACAATGTAATCAATCAGTCACTTACACTACACGAGCCGCATAATTGACGGGTGCTTTGATTTCGTGAGACATTTTAAGTAATTATCGTTTTGATTTTCAAACGGGATGCATGTCGTAGGCCATGATTGAACCATACAAATCAATTTGTTTCCGCTTATTTTTATTTTTATTTTGCCCTCTGGTGCTTGTTCATACTGTGCATTGCATACTTTTGCATTCCTCGATGATTTCTTTGTTGGAGATGTGTTTCGAGTTTGAGCCCCATGAATGAAATCCGACCCAAATTGAAGTGTGTGGCTATTCGACCCCTATAAGAAATGTCTAGAGTAGACCCAATCTTGGAGGAGGCAAAAATTATGGAAACATATCCCGCCTTGAATTTTTAATCCTGTTTTTAGCTGGCCAAGCATTTTAGAGTTATGTGGAACCGTTTCAACTTCTAGCTCAATGTCAAATTTGCCCATAGGTTACAAGACAGAAAGTGTCGAAAAATTAATATTGAAAAAAATGATAAACCATTTGATAAATTAACATCTCCATAAGTAAAGATTTCTTTCCTCCATAAGTTTTATCCCCATGGTTGGATCCCTATTTCAACTAATCAAATTCCACTAGTTGAAATTTGGGGCGCTAAGTATATGCCATATAATCCGGTAGCACACTTAACCTCGTGAAAAGATACTATGTCAGTTTTATAATCATAATCAAGGACTAAACAATCAACATATGTTTACCAACGTATTTTAAAATATTGACCTAGATCTATCGGATCGGCAGGTGATTTTCCATAGGGATGGCATTTAAAACAATGATGTCATGCTTGCAAGGCCACGATGATGTCACACAGATCGAGACCAATTGGCTGGACTTCATGTGTATACGTGAAAAATAATAAGCTTTGAATGAATCGGCGACCATAGGAGAATTAGACACGTTTGTGAAATTAGATAGTGAGAAACTCGAAAGCGACCAGAAAATGCACTAATTTAAAATACATAAGTCTACAGTATGTTCAACAACCGCATAATATTTTGCAGTTGCTATCAAATGTTCGAGTTTTCATACTGCAGAGGTGATCGTGACTCGGTACCATTCGCGATCCATAAATCTAATGAACAAGTTCGAATTTGTAATCTCGCATTGATGAATACTAGTATGCACCATTAGTCTACCAAATGATCTTATTTTGATCACTTGCATTCGATAATAAGCGATAATCCTCCGAGGTAATTTGAAAGATTATCGATTACATGTGACTAGTTCTCACGCATGTACGTAGTGCGTGCATACATGCACAACTACTTTTGAGATAATCTTGTAAATAAGGTTTGTTAGATCGATCCATGTCACACCCCGAACACCATCGAGCTCACGACATCCACCACTGGTCAATTTATGCGACAACCCAGGAATTATCGCCGACCTCAAATATAATCATCAGAGATTTAAATTCACAACGGAAACCACAATTAACCCGGACAATTAAACTGGGGAGAATATTCAAGGAGAATACACATACTTCTTTTCATTACCCACTTATAAAATATTTACAGATTACAACCACCATAAGCACCAGCACACTGCAAGTAAACCACCAGTACACCAAAAAGATCATTGACCTGGTATTCTGACTTCAAAAATGGTACTCATCCAAAACACCTATTCCGAGCCCCTATACTAATCCCTACGCCCCTTGCTAGGCGTCCATTCTGAGTGTGACTCATTATCACCGGAGTCTGAGCTTCCCTGATACGATTGCTCTCCCGAAGACTCCGGCTCCGCCTCAATCACAATCGGATGATCAATGTCACCTGACGCAGCTGGAACAGCGTTCTGGTACTCCTCGGCTAGGAAATCAAAGAAATTATATTCTGGCACGAAATTGGGATCCATGTATTCCTCAAACGGGAGTATATACTCCGGGTTTCCTACAGGCTCTTTCGACTCCTCAGACTCGCCATCAGGTTCTACCTCGGGCTCCACCTCTTCTGGTTCCTCCTCCTCTGGTTCCTCCTCGGGGATTGGTTCTAAGTCTATGTCCATCGGGTCATCCTCAGCTTGCGATGCTTCGGGCTCGGGCTCATACTCAGCCTCCGAAGATCCCTGAGCGGCGGGTGCTGGATGCATCCCAGACTGCGCTACGCTAACCTCCGTACTGGTCAACTCTCCATCAATCGGGGGTACGGCAGTCGGGTCCCAATCCCCAACAAGATCAAACGGAACATCGAATCCTCTAACGGGCCCGAACTCAGCCCCGTCTGCATCCCGGAAGAACCAGACAGTATAAACGTGGGTCTCCCAAAGAGGTAATCCTACTTCTACGAAGACGGTTGGGGTATGCTTGATCTAGGTCATTCCATCCCCCATAGGAAATTCTGTAACTTCATTCTCGGTGTGCACTGGTACCCCAAAATGTTCTGGTGGCGGTGGCGGTGGGTTCATGGCTCAGGTCGGGGTTCTGAAAATATTGGTTGAAACAACCATGAGAACACTTCTCAGCAAGTTCACCCCTAAACCCCACCTAGGCTATCACGTACCTCCAGACAATTTCACAAACACAATTACACACATACCATTATCACATAGCAGGCACATCAGCACAATCACAAACATGCACAATTCTCATGTCATGCACTCATTCCGTTCTCATCATATCTCATCCACATTCCTCGCCAGTGACCCGCGTACACGTACACGCCTTAGGTACACTGCGACCTCTTTCCACAACATTTCCAGGCCCGCGTAAACGTACACGCCTCAGGCCATGTTTCTTGTCCGCGTAAACGTACACACCTCAGGCTCAACACCTACCACCTACTGCACAACCCGCGTTGAAGTACACGCCTCAGGCTAGCAGTCTTCCGGTAATACCGGGCATCGTCCCGCGTAAACGTACACGCCTCAGGACGTCACAATTTCCACGAATTCATGTCATACCACATCCACTTTCTTACTCAGGCATATGCTCAACAAGCAATTACCACACATAACTGGCCAATCACACGTGGCCCATGCACGCATCAATTATACACAAACCATGCTCACTTAGCAGTCAACACGGCCAATTTTAATAATTAAAACAATCTGGCCCAAACGTGCACATCATTAACATAATTCAATTAGGCAATTGCACAATTGCACACTCAATTTCACCACCCGAACTCACTATAATTCAAACGCAAATAAAACACAGAAATCGCTATTTTTCTCCCACCAAACGACGCCAAATCCATTCCGATCCTTCACGGAACTTTTTCACCATAAATTCTCGATTTTAAAAATCCAACTTGCGTCCCGATCGGCCCATCACAGCCCCATGAACAGTAGTCCACAGCCCACAGTTGTCCTCAAAATTCCAATAAAAATTTTCCGAAATTCAATCCTAGGCCCGCCAATTGATTTCACTCCCGAATCATAACATTTCGCACATAATCTAAACCCGATTTCACCCAAAAATCATCCGTCAATACCCAATACCCTAGGTCGGGTTTAGAGTGCGACTTACCCGCGTTCTATGCTATCGCGGCTAGAACGGAAAGCGGCGGCACTTAATCGGGAACGGCGGCGACGGCGTACGGCTTCCAGCGGCGGCGATCGGCTTGGGCGGTGGCCGGCTGGCTCCCTTGGCCGAGACCCACGGCCACACGGAGAGGAGAAGAGAGTGTCACGCCCCGAACCCCTCAAAGCGCGATCAACCCACGTACCGGTTGATTTTGATGCGACGTCCCAGGACGCGTCGCTGACCCAACTCCCAAAACAGAGCATAAGGCACATGCGGAAGCAATAATTACAACACCCGTACAAAACAATACATGACCAAGGGTAGCAGGAACGACGAATAATTAAAAGCCTAATAATCAAGACTTGCATTGAACTTCAAAACATATACAATATCCACGATACACCAATACAAATCTCCAAACAAAAGTGGGTCGACGGCCACTATTAACAAAATGACTAAGTGGCCAAGGGGGCAGTCTAAGGTGGTGCTACAATCAAAGGGTTACCGGCCTGACCTAAGGGAGGCTAAGACTGATCCTAGGAAACTTAATCGGGATCGGATCCTGATGACACAGACTCAGCCTCGATTATCTCATCTTCCGAATCCTTCTGCTCGACCTCGCCAACCTATTCGGAATCCTGCTCTATGGGCTCCGGATCCTTATATTGATCGGGTACACCAGGTATCCTCTAACAGGGATCTGAAAAACGGGGTTTAAACTACTATGAGACGAATCTCAGTGAGTAGGCCTCCTAAACTGAAACTAGGCCAACATGCACCTCCCGACAATCAATCAACACAACAATCGACAATGATGTCAATCAAATGACCTAGGCCCTTGAGCCCGGATCGCTTACCTTGCTGACCCTGCAGGTTAAATAGTTCGATATAATAATCACGGCACATACGTGGCAC